AAGGGCAAACTGCAAACTTCTCTATTAAATCCTTGTCCCAGGAAAATGCTACAAAGACTAAAATAAAGGTGTGTTCCTCTCCTCCAATGTGGGTGTAACTAGAGATCGGAGATTGAGATGGAGGAAGTGCTATTTGCAATTCTAGCTTTTAACTATGTTTAAAAAGTGATGGTTGATTTACAGGCAAGGTTCTTTGTGATATCTTTTAGTAGACCAACTGTGTAGTTGGAAAAAAGTTCTTAGCAAGCTTTTGGGCGCAATCACCCTTCTTCAGGCATAGGAAGTCTCTGCTGTACTGAGACTCCAAGGAATGAGAGAAGCTAAACGTGTGACAGAGTATAGGAAGAAATTGGTAAAACAAAATGTAAAGCTGGGAAGGAAGGGACTTGTTTTACATGCATCTTCACAGGACTCTATTTTGAAACGAGTCCATCATGACAGCAAGAGTAGACGAAAAGGAAAGACCCTAGAATTTAAATAAGGAAATCATTATCAATTCAGACATTTCAAAAAAGATGGTGGGAAGGACACTAATCTAATGGATTACTGATTCCAAACATACTCACATGGAGACTGAGTGCCTTCTTCTCATGGCCTCTGTGAGCTTGGAACCAGTTAACCAGGTCTGCTTTGGTAAATGATTTTAGTGCTTCAATCTGAAAACCAAGGACAGAATCCTCAACCTTCCAACTACCACACTGATATTATACAACATCCTCATTTCCAGCATAAACAGCATTTGAACATCTCTACCAGCCTTATTATCTTGTCCTTTGATCCATCCCTGAACAACGGTTGCAGGTATTTTAAGCCCCAGAATTGCTGAGTTTCTACGAGGCAAATGAGATCAAGCTTTCTATTCAAGAAGCAATATCCACTAACCTTGAAATCTTGGCCCCACTGAGATCAGTTAGAGCAGGGCTTCCCCACCTTTTTATACTGATGACTGGCAAACTGCGGATCAGAAGTGACCGTGGACCGGCAAACTGTGGACCGGCAGTGACTGGCATACTATGGACCGGCAGCCACCCCTTTTTTATACTCAGTATAAAAAAGGGGTGGCTGCCGGTCCGCGGTTTGCCAGTCCACAGTCACTTCCAATCCAGCAGCCAACCCTCCTGTGGACTGGCAGCCAATCCTTTGCAACCCAGTACTAGACCGCGGCCCTGGGGTTGGGAACCCCTGAGTTACAGATTTGCCACTGGCTTAACTAGAGCAGAATTTCACCCTGTATTTCAAATGCAAGCATCTAGTAAGACAAAGACAGACAATAAAAGATGTTTAAGCTGAATTCATTACCTCGTGGGCAAGTCTGTCAAAAAAATACTGCTGTGTCACTATTTCATTCCAGTTTCTGTCCACCTCTTCCCCAAGATAGGAATCTTCACATTCTTTAATATTTATTAGAACACTGACCTGTGAAAAAACACACTCATACTTATTACTCTGTAGGGAAGCCAACATCCTTGGGAAAGGAGGAGGATTCTGTTACAGAAGCCCTAATTAGCATAAGATGTGGTCTAGTGTCTTATTCAAAGCAAAAGTTTAACTTGTGCTAAATGCAATTTTGGCATCTGGGGCATTTGCTTTAAGTACCGAAATACTAACAGTTCTTGAGTCCTTTGAACAAAATTGTCCACGTCCCCTGAGCCCAGCTAAAGCCGTCAGCAGAAACAAGAGACTATCACAGGGTGGGAGGCTCAAAATCCACAGGAGATGAAAAAAATCAAAGCATTCCCTGTTTAGTTTTGATGCCAACCCTAAAAAACTCCACCATGCACTGCAGCCAATGCCAAGAGTATAGAGCTGGAAGGTACCCCCAGGTCATCGAGTCCAGGCCTCTGCAGTTGGAGGCAGCCACATCATACACATTTGTCCAAAGCTGTCTCTAAGAACATCTGCTCCAGACCCTCTCATGCACCCAGTTGAAAAATGCCTCACAAAAAACAGGCAAGGTTCTTTGGGTAAATCTGATATCTTTTATTAGACCAACTAAAACAGTTGGAAAAATTCTTCTTTGCAAGCTTTCGGGTACCAACACCCTTCTTCAGACTGAGGAAGCACCTGCAGTTGTTCTGTGCTCTTCCTGGATGGAATAAAATAACATAGAAGCCAGAGGCCAGTATGCAAGATGCCAGTCAGTGAAAATGCAAATTGAGGCAGTTGGTGGGTGAGAAAAAACAGGCTTTTCACAAAAAATAGTCTTTTCAGTACAAAAACAAGCAATGGCCAGAAGGAGGAAGAGAACAGGAGAGACAAGGGCACCATCAATGCCTACTGCCCTGACAAACAGAAATATTTCCACTTCCTCCATCCCAAAGAGGATGCCAGTGGCTTTTGACAGGCCAGGAAAGGAGCAGAGCCATTCTTACCCTGTGCATTTCAACTGCTTCTCCCATTACCTGAGCACTGAATGCTTCTGTGGTTAAAATCTTGAGTTTTTCCTCAAAGCACACAAGAAATTCTTCTATTTTCTTGTCAACTAGTTCAGTGCTGAAAGAAACAAGGGAAACTTCAGAAATAATATTGTTCCCTCTTGATCCAAGTACTGCCCAAACTGTAGAGTTCTGCAGGTAGTTCCAGTTTGGAGGAGAAACTGATGTTGGAGGCAGGGATTGCTTTAATGTCACTTTCTCTTCTTATACAAACATCACAGAAGTCCTGTTTCCTAGAGTGCTGGAAGAATGAAAAGCAGGATGGTTTTCTAGCTCACAGCTCTAAACCTTTCAAGCAGCATCCAGCCCAAAGCATCTCTAACAAGGTTGTGCTACCAGTGTTTCTGTGGTTGTGGCTGGCTGCCTGCTGCTTCTGTTTCCTTTTGTGATACTCTTGGTGCTTCTCTCCCTCACAACACACACACCTACCTGCTATAAACAACACCCAGAAAAAGCTGCTCTGATCACATGTTTCAAATTTCTCAGTGAATTGGCATGAAACATTGTTTTGGGTGATGCCATATTTCCACATTTAGGTTTGAAGACTGCTATTGTTTCAGAAAGGAGTTTAAAAGCTGCATATGACTATCTTAAATGAAGGGTACTGGTTACATAAACAGCTTCAATGATTTCGTATTGAACCCACAATAATATCATGAATAACACTGGAAGGACATAGTAAGTGGGGGCAAATGAACAATTTAAAGTCTGGACTTTTATCGCCTCACGATATCTTTGCTATCCGCACAAATGAACAGATCTGAGAAGACTATACACGTTTGCTAAGGGTAAGGTTACCATATTTCTAGTTTCAAAAAAGCGGACACCTGTCAGGGAGGGAGGGTGGAGAGGCAGTGATATGCCTGTGCCCTGCCCCTGCCCCTCACTCCCAAGCCACAGCACCCCAGCCCTGCTGCTGCCCCTCACTCCCGACCCACAGTCCTCCACCCCCCACCCCCCCAACCATGCTGGTGCCCCTCACTCCCAACCCGCAGCCCTCTGGCACTACCTGTTCCCTGCACTCCCAACCCACAATCCCCTGCCCCACCCCAGCGGCCCTCACTCCCAAACCACAGCCCCCCCATCCCTCCCGCAACCCCTTAAATCCCCCACCCACGCCCTGCTGGTGCCCCTTACTCCCAACCCACAGTCCCCTGTCCTGCCCAACCCTGCCAGTGCCCCTCACTCCCGACCTGCAGCTCCCTGCTCCTCCTAGACCTGCAAGCGTCTCACAGCTGCTCTGCCCCATGAGCACAGGCACCGGTGTGGCCACGCAGCTTCCTGCTGCCCCTCCCCTGCTCCCTTTCCCTTTTAAAGGAGAAGGCATCTCCCCAACCCTGCTACCGCCCAGTGCCGGGGAAAACGTTGATGCTGAGCAGAGCAAAATCCTGGACGCTTGTTGATATTTTTTAAAAATGCCCAGATGGAGATGGAAGGACCCAAAAAGGGGACATGTCTGGGAAAACCCGTATGTATGGTAACCCTAAGGGGCAAAAGAAAGCCATTACCTGTTTCAATTTTCAACTTTTCCCTGTCTAAAGGAATATGGTTACCTGACAGATAAAACTGGTCAGTCTTTCTGTGTAACAAGAAGAAAATGCTACTACTACTGCTGGCATGTCCTGACTAACACTGCAGGCATGTTACTGGCAAACTATCTTACATTAAAGACTGTGCGCAAGCTCAGGGTCTCAGACACAGGTAAGTGGGGTGCAGGAAAGCAGCTCTGATACAGGAGTAACAGATGTTTAGAAGCATATTCTCAGCTGCTGTAGCCACTAGACTGAAATTTCCAAGGACTTAACATGCAGCAATGCATATGGGGGACAAGGTAATAGCAGAGAGGTGTAAGTATTTCTATTGTTTCCAGATTGTCTGCACCTATTTTTTTTTTTTTTACAAACTAATGGTGAGCAAGAGATCTATTTAAAATTCAGCAGTCAGCTATCAACTTGAAAACAATTAATAGCGGGCGTAAGATAAAGCAGCATTTGAAAGGTCATTTATTCATTTGCCTCTCTGAAACTGAAATTAAGGTTTCACTGGCATATGAAAAATATGTGTAATTTATTATTCATGGTAATCTAATGCTCTTTTTTGTGTCATAAAGCATTAGTGTGTTCAAATGCTGTGCTATTTGCCATACGATTATAGAAAAATAGAGGGCAACTCTAGAAACTGACTGATCACCAGGAAATAAGTGCCCCAAGCTCCCTGCAAAGGAGGAACAGCTTGTATTATTCTTTAGCTAGTATCACTGACCATCCCTATGACCTTCAGAGAGGATCATCATGCCATGAGGACTGCTTGAGGATGGAGAGAATTCCAATCCTTCATCTCTTGCAGCTCTCTGCAGCACTGGAACTAAGATTAGAACTGCAGATAGAAAAAGCTAAGATCATAGTGTATATCAAGCCAGACATTTTTAAGCCAGTGGAGACTGAGCCAAGACAGCTCATCAGGGTTAAGGCACACCAGTGTTTGTAGCCAACAGCACACACTGGAGTAATGTGGCCAGCAACATGACTAGGAGTCTCCGATTCCCCAAATTCACAATGACCATCCACAATGTACCTACCCATACCAATGGGGCAGTCCTCAGCACAAGTCTGAAATAGGACTTAAAACTTTTGCCTCTGGATCCATAGTGAAATGCCTTAATCATTCTGCAGCCACATCACCCCAAGTATACTCCACCTAACTAAACAAACAGTGTATTTGCAAAGAACTTCCAAGTGAAGACACTGCAACAGATTTCTAAGAGCTTTATCTGGCTGAACAGTAAAGATCAAGGGTGAAATAAATCTAGCAAGAACATTAAGATCTTCTACACTACTCCATTGTCAATAACAATGGATACAGAATAAAACAGACCATTTTTGTTTTAAAGTGAACTAAATGTTCTGCATATAAGCAAGAGCAATAATTAGTTGCTCAGCTTTACACATGCCCAAAACTTTTCACTCTTAATCCCCAATTTCTTTACATTTCATTCAGTACATTCATTTTCAAATAAAGCTGATGCATTCATGTGGAATGGATACCATGAGGCTGTTTGGGGCATTTTATGCACTGGAAAAAAATAACCCAGTTACTAAAACCATGCAAGCCTGTGATATGATATTTGTATGACACCAGATTGCTCCTAAACAGATGGGAAGAAAAATCCAGATGGAGTCTGGATGAAGACCTAACTCATTGTGTGTGATCCAGAAGAACACTTTTCAGTCTAACCAGCAGAACCACCACAAAGTGAATAGCGTGAGCAGGAGGTCTAAAATTTGCAACTGGAAAATAATTTCTCATTCTATAAAATTGTGATAAACAAAGTACAAGATTCCAGAAACTCAATTCTCTAAGCTTTATGTACAAAAGGGCTAGAAGCTAAAAAGCTTTAGGTGCACTTCAGTTGAGAGCTGTAGACATTAGCTCTGAACAGTTTTCTAATGATCCTAAGGTAGAATCATCATCACTTTGTAGCCATTTTTTTAATTAGTAAGATACTTACTTGTTCTTTGTAGCTTGTGTTGCTACAGTAACAGAGAACCCAAGGATCCCAGAAGTATTTCTACAGGCTGGGTACACATGGTAGCTAAAACCAAAGGGAGAAAAAAAAATCATTCCCTAAACACAAATTTATTCATACATATATAATCCATAACTGCTAAATTAGAATACTGTTAGCATTTAGACTGCGTTTATCAACTTAAATGTTCCTGAGGGACTAGCTTAAATATCAGTGTAAACTCTCACATCTGGTGGCATTGAATTTTTCTTGCTCAGGACATCCTTCTAGAACTGTGTATTGTTTAGCAGATGGGCTTCACTGAGTACTTGTGTTATAAGAACTCCTGTAAACTAGATTTGTCAAATTATAAGGATGCAGACAGTTCAGGTGCCATGCACTCAGGGGTTACAACATCCCTCAGTTCGCATCAGTTGGCCTGAAGAGGCTGATGCACCTGCAAATGTGACAGGAATTAATTCCAGTTCAACAGCCACTTCTATTTCATAGTTTCATAGTTTCTAGGGTCGGAAGGGACCTGAGAAGATCATCTAGTCCGACCCCCTGCCATGGCAGGAAAGAGCACTGGGGTCAAACGACCCCAGCAAGGTGTTCATCCAACCTCCTCTTAAAAACCCCCAGGGTAGGAGCCTGCACCACCTCTCTTGGAAGTTGGTTCCAGACCCTAGCCGCCCTGACCATGAAGTAGCACCTCCTAATATCTAACCTAAACCTACCCTCTGCCAGCTTGTGACCGTTATTCCTGGTCACTCCTGGCAGTGCTAGGGGGAACAGTGACTCCCCCAATGCCTGCTGATCCCCCCTGACTAGTTTATAACA